AGCCCGGTTGTCACTGGAGAGGGGAACCATTTTTTTTGTACAAAAGCTGACTTTGCCACTGATCTTTCAGCCTCATCCTTAACAGAGACCTACCAAATGCCTTCAGAAGAGGCTAGGAACTAAATGCATGGCTCTCCTGTGTGCCATAAGCCGTGAACCCAAGAGTGGTTTTGCTTTGCATGCTGTAATTTCATACTTGTTCCCACAGACAAACTCATATTCCACATGCTGCAAATTACCTGTCTGCTTCCCTTGGGAAGCGATCTTCTCACCATCTGCTCCACCCCCTTGCCCCAGCGTCCTTTCTAATCCATAGATAATAAATAAATTGTTTTGCATATCACCTAAACATGTGTAATTAAACTTTTCCTACTTGTATATAGGCTTTAAATTTGCCTCTGACCTGGAGAGAGACTTGTGTGCTCAAAATATTTAATTAGACCAGCTGGTGAAGATTGCTTCTATCTACAGACCTTTTCTTATACTGTAAATGTTATGCAAGCTTGCACTGCTGTCTTTTTATCTGTGGTACTTCGGAAGGACGTGCTCTAGGAGATGTAGTCCTCAGCTCAAGTAGTTTCCAGTGGTTGCGTATCATGCAATTTTGTGCATTTTCTGTCTACCAAAAAAATCAGGAAAAATTAATAGTTGCTACACAGGAAATTCAGAAAATATGGTGCAATATAACTTATTTTGGACAAAGTTTTATAATCTTTATAAAAGAGCTTGTAGTTATTTTTCTATGGCTGTTCCTGTTTGTCCTCTGATTTTCTTCTGAAACTGCTGGGCAGGGGAGAAAACTCAGTGTTGGCACGCGGCAAACAGCGTATATGGTAGAAGTCTAGAGTTTTCACACTTTAAGTCAGCTGGGATTTTTCAGGCTGTTATAAATGTTTTTGTGATTTCCAGCAGTTACTTAACTGTGTTAATGTGTTTTACTGTGCACATATTCTTTCCAGCTTTTGCACACGCGGGTGGAAGAGTAGGTTTTCTACAGACGTGCTGTCTATTATCACAGTGAATAGGTGTAATTTCAAAACAAGGCAGTGGAAGAAAATGTGGAACCAGATCGGAAAGTCTGTGGGCACCCCATCTGTCTGCTGGGAACCATTAATTTTCTTGACGGTGGGGTGAAGATTTGCTGAACTGGGGACTTCTAAGGCACTGGAAACATTGTCCTCAAATCAGTGTCTCCATTGTAGCTGATCAGCTTGGAGGCTTGTAAAGGTGTGCATGTCGTACTTTCAGAGCTTGCTTTACATCGCTTTCTGTTTGGTAAGGATAGCTTCTTAAGGATTAATGAACTATGCATCCTTAAAATACGCTTTAAGGCAAGCATTAATTTCTTTGTACTGTATGAAGGTAAGCATGCTTGTTTACAGTGTCTTGAGGAGGTGCGAGGGTGCAGGAGTTTTCTGGCACATTTGACATATTTTGTTAGACTGAGCATTTGACAGCAGAAAAGTGTGAAGTATCTTGGTATATTTCTCACGTTTCGGGTGGTGTCAGGTGATGTTTTGAATTGCCTCGAGAGTGAATCTGATTCCTTGCTAGGAAACCAGCCGCAAACCGAGTTTGTTGGAGAGGGTGCATAAGCAGAAACCCAGGTTGTGTGGAGTAGCACTAGTCTTGCAGAAGAGTGACATGCAAATAGTGTAGTCTTCCAGCAGATGAGTGGTAACGAGTGCGTAGTGGGCTGAAGCATCTGAGACGCTCTAGACAAGTCCTTGGGTTGCAAGCTTCCCTGGTGCTGCAAGCACATGCCTACCTGTGGCACTGACTAAAAGCTGTGGTGAGCAATGGATTTTGCATAATACCCTGTTGAAGGCTGAAGGGTGAGAAGCTTGGGAATACTGAGGTAGCAGCCTGCCTGAATGACATGGCAAGTAACAGATTTTTACAGATCGTATTCTGTATAATTCTGTTGGGTAAGGCAGCCAGTTGTGTATTATGCAAGAACTTGGCTTTTACTGAAATCACTCTGAAGCAAGATGCAGAGTAAAATACTGCATCACTCTGTGTACTGTAGTACAATTGTAAAAGTTGTGGTGTTCTTGTCTAGGACTGCACCATCAAGAGGGGATGCCCAGATCTTGAGCTCCTTTAGGAGACCTCCTGCTTCTGTGGGTTTAGGAGATCCAGGTGACTCTGGTGTTTTTAATTGCAAATGATCTCCTGGGCTCTTTGATCTTGGCATTTTTTGCTTTTTCTTTTAAAGGAATGCAGTATAGGCACAGGTCAAAGGGAAATGGCAGACCTTAGGTGGAGAAAGGAAAAGTGTTACATGGAAAAATTCAGATACATGGAACTTGGGAAAAGTGGTATTTAAACAGTTCAGATTTACTTTTTCCCTGCATTTTACTCAAACTGTGTTTGTGTAAACAAAGAACTGCACAGTCTACAGCACAGCTGACCATATAGCCAACTACTGCACTTGCATTTGTGTGACGCTATCTGAGGATTTCAACAGAATACAAATAAGTCAATAATTTGAATCAGGTTGTTGATGTGTCTTAATTTTAACAAAAAAGCCAGTAGCTGTTCTACAGAGTAGAAAAGATCCTTCCCTCTTCTTGTGTTATTTGAAATTCTCTAGCTTAAAGAAGGAAGTGTTGAAATGGTTACTCCTGTTGAAATGGAAAACTGTATAGCAAGTCTTTTGATTGTGCTAGGTATCTCCTTATGGCATTGTTTCGTTATTTTTATTTTGGAATGGGTAAGACACTGATTCTGCAGTCTCTTTTCCACCCATCCATGGGGTGACCTGTGTCTGCACTAGATTTTTACAGGTTGCGAATTGAGGCTTGCAGACAAGGTGGAATCTGTTGTACAAAGCAAAATATGCTTGAAATATGACACAAGTGTTTTCGATGTCTGTTGTAATGAATGACTTTTTTTCCTTAAAGGGGCAGCAGTACTTTAAGAGGTCTTAGTAGGCAAAGTTGTGATAAAATTATTCTGTGAAAGTGAGTTGTGTATAACCATTCTGGATTTAGTTGATACAGCTGAGCAATTAATAAACTTGTTAACTCTTTCTATCATGTTATAATGAACACTCTGTAGTCATTTTGTCGATGTGATAGGTAAATGCGATACCTGAAAACTTTTTAATCATGTTGAGGAGTTGGGGGTTGAAACTATAAAAAAAATCTCAATGCTGGCTCAGATTTCTTTAAATTTTTAATCACAGATACTTCAGTATTTGTTTCAGCTATATGTAAATACTGCCTTTGAATTAGCTGAAAATTCCTGTTCTGCTAACGCCACTTCTAAAACATAGAAATGATTGAGTTTTCACTGCTGAAAGATGGCTAGTTGAGTGTAGAAGCACATGTGGTGAAAGCAAGCTGTTTCACAGTGCTCATAACGCGTTGGGCAGTTAAGTTTGAGAGCAGAGGATTAGGTTTGGGAAATAGTTTCTCGAAGAACAGAAAGGAGAATGGTGAAAATCAATTTGCTACAATGAACAGGTGTGAAAAACTATGCTGGAGGACTTGGCATAATTTTTGCAGTTTGGGGTGGCTACTCCAGTTAATGTTTCAGTGCCTTTATTGTCACTGCACGTACATCTGGAGAGGCATTATCCCCAATGAAAGGGTAATCCAGCCTGTTCAATAACAACAACTCTTTTGCCTTGAGACAGTGAAGTATCAGATTTTGCAGCATGCAAGACAAAAGGCTCCTTTGCTACTTCTCAGAATAAGATTAGAGTTGTCACGTTTCTCCTTCACCAGCGTGCCTGGCACTTCAGAGCATAGCTCAGACTTCCCTTTGTTAATGGAAGAGAAAGGCTATCTTTATGCTCTTCCGTTATTGGTACTTTTTATTTTCATAATTCATTTTTATATTTAATGCACATGACTTACGCCTAAATCCCATTCAGGATTAGTTTGGAAAGTTGGGTTTCAGTTAACTGAAACTTGAGCAGCCTTCTCAAAAAATCCCATCCCTAAGAAATGTTAATTAAAACAAAAAAAAAAAATCGTGCAAGCTTTGTGAGTACTCCATACAGTACAACACGGTATACCAGAAAGCCTGAGAAAAGTCAAACACAGTTTTGCATCTCTGAAAACAAACCACAAGAGTGTGGTAGGTTAGAACTGCTGGTGAGGATGGGCTGGGCAGTGATGTTTTAGGTAGGCTTTCCTCACTGGTAGCTTTGGAAAAAGATGGAAACAATACTAGTAACTAAAATAAAAGTAGCACTCACTTCTGGTGATGTGTACAGAGATCTGTAGCAGTTGTGTTGCTTCCGGGCTTTGTGTCTGAACCCAGGCATCTCAGCAGCAAGAAAACCCACAGGTTTGCTGAAGAAGATGCAGATGACTTTCTTACAGGACCATTCCTGATGCTCCTTTACTTAGCAACCAAATCCCGCTGCAAGTAAACTAGGAGTTTGCAGGCTCTATATGCCTCAGCTAATTAAAAGTGTTGACTAAGTAGCATCAGCATGAATATAAATAAAATTGTTTGGTATTTTACATATTAAATTTAAATGCATTTTACTGCTTCCAGTGTGGAAGCAAGGCTTGTCTCTTTCAGCTCCTTTTCCATAAAGGAAAACAATGAGGAGTTTGTTCAGCTTCTGTGTGCAGAAGAAATACATTTAGGCATTCTTTGCATAACTGTGGGGAAGAAGGGGTTGCTAGCTTTCTCATTGTTCAACTTGTTTCATAATTGTTAACTGTGAAAACACATTGTGAAAAATACCTGGTGGAACTACAAAGAAATGGTCTGTGCGGTA